TGTGCCCTCACCCTGCTCACCACTGAGGCTTTTCCCAGTCACAGTAGCTCGCTGCTTACCCTGCTTTATAGCGTCTCTCACTCTGTACAATACTTGATGCTGGTGTATCTCCTTCCTCCTCCAGGACAGGGCTTCCTGGCTGGCTTGTGCGAGGCTGCAGGGTCCAGGCTGCTTGTTTCATTATTCATCTCGCAAACACCCTCAAGCCCCACCAACACCAGCACCCTTCCTTCAAGTGTTTGTCCCCTCCTGCCTGAACCCCCAGATCCGGCATGCTCCCCTACCAATCACAGCTGCTCAGAGAGACGGACACACAGACAAGGTCCCAGGGCTGGATTTTATTGCCTCCCTGCAGAGGGGAGGCGTCCTCCGGGCAGTGCGGGGCCCAGGGAGGCCCTGGTGAGTCTCTGTATTGTGGTCGAGGCTCAGATTTGGGGCTGGGGCAGTTAGAGGAGGTTCTTGGAAACCAAACCGGAGGGGAGGGCCCCTGGATCTGGGCTGGAAGATTCTGCCGGTGAGAAATAGAGAGCCCCTGGGTGGGGCGGGCGGGCCCCAGGTATCTTGGGGAGAGGAGCTGACACAGGTGGATCCCTGAGAGCCCAGGGGCCAGGGGCCATGGGGATAAGTCCGCATCCTGCAGGGCTGCATCCGGAGGGGGCCGGCCGCTGCGGCCCCTCCTCAGGTCACCCGGTGGGACCATGGGCTGGAGTGGGCATGCTGGGCCTCAGAGCTCATCGTGATGCCGGGTCAGGTCCTCCCCGTAGTTGGTGGCCTGGCTGCCCACGAACATGTTCCAGTTGCCCAGGATCTCGGCTTTGCTCAGACGCCCGTCCTGGAAGGAGGGTCAGAGGTCAGCAGGGACAACTGCTCTGCTTGTGGGACCCCTGCCTGCGTCTAAGTGTGTCCCTCAGGTCTGTGTCCCTTCCCCCATCTCTATCCCCTCTCCCGCTGGGTCTCCATCCGTCTTTTTTTTTCTTTTTTTCTGGAACTGGGATTGCGCCCAGGGTGCTCTCACTGAGTGACATCCCCGCAGCTTTTCCTTCCTTTCCTCCTTTCTTTTTCCCCTTCTTTTCCTACTTTCCTTTTGACTTTTGCAGCGATAAGGACTGGACCCGGCTGCTCTGTTGCTGACTCCTATCACCAGGTTTTTGTTTTTTTTTTTTTGAGACAGGGTCTCACTAAATTGCCAAGGCTGGCCGGCCTTGAACCTGCAGTCCTCCTGCCTCAGCCTCCTGAGAGGCTGCGATCACAGGCGTGGGCCACTGCACCCAGCTTCTGTCCCTCTGTCTTTATCCCTCCACTGCCCAGGTCGGGCCCATGGCTACACAGCAGCCCAGCATCCTCCCGAGCGCCTGCCTTGCCCCACGGCACACCTTGTCTGTATCGCTCTCGTGCAGCAGGTGGTTGGCCTCCACCAGTGGCTGGTCCTGGGAGGGTGGCAGCACCCAGTGACCGACCTCGTTGCCATCCAGC